TCATACATATGTTTGTATACATATCGTAGACCCATTCGTAGCATTTTCTTTATAAGCCGGCAAACAGTCAAACACTCAAACGTAAGGCATTTTAAAATTTGCATGTGCTTCTGGCAACAATGGCAGCTGCCGGTGCTTAACTAGTTAGTTAGTGCCCAGGTGGTGCTGGTGGAACTGCTGGAGCAGGTGGTGCAGTTGCTGCTGCCCAGATGGGCGCTGCGTTTGCTGTCACAGACAGGCAAAACACGCGAATTGACTTCATCAAACGCTCGCAAGCTGCACAAAATTGCTTCGTTTCACTGTCGCACAGTGGTACAATTTGACGTTTCTACGCTTAAAAACTTAATAGGTGCTAATGGCTGTGAGATTTGCTAATGAGCTTTTCCTAAGCTAGCGACTTTCCAGTTAATTTGCCTATTGAAGGATCTCAGAACCTTTAAGGGCTAGAGACTCGAATATAGGTCCTCCTAGTGCCCGTGCAGTACGAGTTTGTTTCCGATATTCGCTGACTTGCCTCGTTTCAATCGATAAAAATCACTATCGAAATCCTTTATTTTCAACAAATCTCATAAGTTTTAAGAGCTAGAGTCACCAAATTGGACATGCAGTTTCTTGAATAACGATTTCCATCGATTTGGCAGAAAAGTGGCGAGTTATCGATGATTTAAAACAAAGTCTCTATTGCTTAAGTTCTCTTGGACATATTGGACAGACGGACTGAAAGTCGATTGATCCAGAAAATATATATACATATATATACATTATGTAATCGGTAAGGCCTGCTTTTGCCAGCTACCAACGTTTGCAAAAGAACTATTGTTAACATTTTAAAAAGTACGCTTTTCTTTGTATGTGACATAGCTGGCTATAGGGTATTGGCAAGTCGGTCAGTCGCAACTGAAACGAACTTCTTGTTTCATACTGTTACACACAAATTGGAATCACTGTGCGGCTGATGGTGTTGCTTTTGCTGCCACGAGCGATTGCATTTGTTACGGCCACAGCAACAACAATTACAGCAACAACAGCAAGAAGAAAAACAACAGCAACAAGAAGAAGAACAACTCACAAACAACAACTGCAAAAACATCGCACTTTGACTTTAACGCTGTTGCATTTTACTAGGTCAAAAGCAACGTCACCGCCAGCAAAGGTTGCGAGCGAGTCGAAAGCGTGTGAATGGGAGGGAGTGATGGAAAGAAACAGAGAGAGAGAGAGGGAGGGAGAGAGAGAGAGAGAGGGAGGGAGAGAGAGAGAGGACAGGCGGGTGTGTGCATGTGTGTGCGGTGTCAAACATAAATATGGCGTAAAGGTGAAACTGTTGCTGGCTGCCGTTGCTGCTGCTCCTTGCTGACTGCCGGGCATAAATCGGTGCCTGTGTGTGTACGAGTATGCTTGTGTATGTGTGTGTGTGTGTGTGTGTGTGTGTGTAAGTGTGTGTGTGTAAGTGTGTGTGTGTAAGTGTGTATGTGTGTGTGGCTGTATAGCGCGCTAAATTTCACACAAGCATAAATACACACGCACACACACAAAGACACACAAACACACACACACAGACACACACAGACGCACGCACACACACAGACGCACATGCAGGCGGCCAAATAGCAAACCATTTCTAATTGGAGGTCGTCCTGGTTGTTGTCTTGGCTGCCTTTTGGCCAAGTTGTTGTTGCTGCTGTTGTTATTGCAGCTTATGTTGCGAATGGCTCTGAGCAACGAGCGCAATCATTTTTCTTATAATATTTGCCGAGCGTCTTCCGCGAAGGACGCACAGCCGAGGCAAAAGGAGTCCAACGTGCGTTTATATGTTTGTAAGCATTTCTTAATAACAAAATGAGCAAAGGCCAGCGCAGCCAGTGAGACGTTTCAGAATGCGACACAAAGAATAATGGGCAAACAAATTAAGTGCGCTGAGAGAGAGTCGCCGTGCAATATGCCAGTGAGACGTTTAAGTATGCCAGATAAACGGGAATGGGACAATTTAGACACGATGATTATGTGCGGCGAGAGAAGAAGAAACAGAGAGTAAGAATCAGAGAAAATCAGCTTCATATAGGCTGGTCATAATAATAATAGGGTAAACTGATCACAGAGCCAGTGCAAAGGTGTAGAATACAACACAAAGTATAATCGAAAAGAGCAAATATAATAGAATGTAAAAGGAGAACCTCTTCCTTGTTGGCGCTTAAGGTCTACAGTAGTAAGGTGATGGACGCTGAACCAATATAAGACGCATATATGCCAGGCTATAATTTAACTTAAATTTCTTATCTTCTTTTTAAGATGTGATAATGCCTAAAACTAAAAGGGCCCCTGGCAATAAGTGTTTGTCAAGATGGGCGATTCGAGAATCTCTGCTGTAAAGGATTTAGGTGAAGATATGAAAGGAGCGTAACCTGTTTGATTCTAAAACGAATCTTGAGCCGAAACAGTTGCTGAAAAAAAAGAAGAAAAACGAATCTCGAATCTTGAGCCGAAGTCATTTGGCAGAAACATAGATATGTAGGGTATGCTTTCAGTCAAGCTTTCATGCGAAAGCATGTGCTTATCTTTACTTTTAAATTATTTCTGATTTTAATAGGATTTAACATCTGTTTGCGAAAGGTAGGGCATATACGATATATATATATATATATATATATATATACTGGTGGCTGTGCGCTTTCAACTTGGTTGCATTTATACTCGTTCATGAATCGGGTATATTAGTTTTGTGCAATGCCCGTCTTGCGCAAGTTGGTTAAATCTCTTCGACAGCCTTATAGCTACTGTGACGTGTAAGGAATATTACTGATGATAAATATCGATAAATATCGATCCAAACATATATCTTATGCACATTTCTTAATACATTTAACCTGGCAGCCTGCTTTAAACTTTTATTTGACGAGTATCACGTAGTCGATTGCATGCGACCGCAACAATCTTATTTGCTTGGATTTACGTTTGGTCGCTTAACTCGCTGCCTCCGTGAACACATTTCATTGCCAAGGCTGACAAGTTGCAGCAGCTTCTTGGTACTGGCAGCGCTTCGGGTTGTGGCTAGCGTTTGCTATTGTCGACAGCCCTCCGGCTTAGGCACGTGCGGTGCCACCAAGAATACCACAAATGATCGACAATCTGTGGCGTGAACTTGTTTGCGCTGCTGTCTGTTCACATATTTGCAACTAAGTGCATTTTTTTAAATATTTAACACATTGAAATTGGTTTAATTGAGCGTATATTGTGCAAAAGTGTAAGGCAACATAATTGAACCCATAAGGTATATATATTTTTGATCAGGTTTCGATCAGATCGAGCTATGTCGCACGAGTCATGCACGCCTATTCGTGTGTGCTTGCACTCTTTGTAAAAACCAGACAGACCAAAGTTGGTGTAAAGGTTCCATATTTCGTATGGTATAGATTGATGAAGTATGTCTTTCCTTGTCGAATACTTCCTTCCAATCATGAATGCTATATTTATGCCTTGCAAGTTTCATAAAGATCGGACTATAAGCACCGAAGTTACACAAAATGGGCATTTTCCATGCATAGTGCTTGGCAAAGGCAAGAAGAAGCACAGCCGCTGCGTATATATACATTCTATTCCAAATATCGTAACTCTCTAACTTTTTTCTCCTTGTTTTCTAATTATATGTTCTAAATGAATATAGTTAGTTTAGTTCTATTCTAATTATATTCGATTCTTGGGTTCACACTCGTTTTATTGTGCTGGGTAACTTTTAGTCGGGCTGTGTATTTTTTTCATTTTTTTTCTTTTTGGTTGATATTTTTGAGTGGCATCGCGTTTTAATCGAATCGCAAATGCACTCATGTAAAATTCAATAATTTCCGCTCACTAACTCAATTAAATCGCCATTTGAGTTGCAAGCTGTTGCATGGTCGCAAGTGAGAGGGGGGGCAGGGGGACTTGCAGCAGCTCATCCCGCAGCATTGTTTGGTAATTGTGAGCAGGGGGGAAGGGGGGAGCGTGCTGTCAGCTGTTTGTTGCGTTTGATTAAAGGAATTCTTGTGATTTTCATCCAAGACCAAAAGACGGCAACTAATCTAAAAAAAAATCCCTTTTAAGCCCACTCTTACACAGGATTTCAAGAATTCGCTGTCATAAGGTTGCTGGCAGCCTTAAAACAAATTAAAATAGGCGAGAGTGCTCAACTCTCTGGAGTGTCCGACGAGATAATACCGTGTACAAAAACTTCCTTTTTATATGGAAGGGAAAAGGGCGCAGAATGGAAAGAATTATTTTAAAGCTAATGGGATGGGCTAATGGGAGATTAAATGATCCGAGCTGGCGTTACAAAACTCTTGCAAATCGATATTTATCGATACTATGGAAATGAGCAGAATTATCGGAAACGGAAATAACTCCGTTTACCTTATGATATACGAGAATATGTTTTAGTTATGAGACTCTAGTCACTATTTGTTTTCGAGCTGGACAAGTTTAAACTTTCTCCTGATCAAAGTTTAGGTATAACTCCTAAACTATTCTTTTTTACAAATTTTTAATTAGTACGGGGTATAAAAAGTAAACTGTTCTTTGGCTTTTGGCGTCAGAAAAATGTACCGTTTGTACCTGAGATAGGATGTTTGTGCTAAAAACAGAAGCCTATTTTTAGAAGAATTTTTGATCTAGAAAATATATATAAATATATATATATATATTCATATTAATAAATAGATATTTATAGCAAAGGAGATGCCTGCTTCCACCTGTCATCAAATTTGAATATGGCCGTTTTGTAGATTTCTGTAGATTATAAACTATAAATAATTGAAAGCAATTGCTCTTGTTGTCGATTCTATTGTTTATTGATGTTGCTAGTGTGACATTTGTATCTCTGGATGCAACCATACGCTAGTACATTGCGGCTAAAAGTGCGATTGAATGGGCGGAAGATTTGAAAATGTGAAGGCCAATGGCAAATAATGCAAATATGCTTGATAAAATGTATGCATGTGTTGGTGTATATTAGATATGTGTTGAATGTGCATCTATGAGTATTTGGCAAAGTTGATATTGGCATTTAGGCTCGGCCCGATGACATCGCTATAGATGGTCTTGCTGCGCTGCTGTGTCTGTCGGCGATTTGTCACATAGGTATTATAATCGACACGGGCATTCGCATCGCTATCGCTGTGCAGCCAGTGGACAAAGCGATGCATCTGATCCAGAAACGCAACCTTGCCCTTATCAATGTGATCCACCTCATACCAGCGTACGATGGCATCCTCATTGATAACGCCCGCCCGATACAGATGTACCGCAAAACGTTCAAAGGATTTGAAGAGCGCATGGTGCTCATAACACCATTCCTGCAGCCGCATCAGCAATGCAATCTGTGCGCTGTCCGTGCTGCAAAGTGCATTCAGCAGTGGTGCATATGTTTGCAGCCTGCGTATGGTCTGCTCCGGACTGGAATTGGCCGGGCTGCTGCAACTGGCATTACTATTGATTGTCTGCCAGACAATGCCGATGACTTCTGAATCGGACATGTGATGCTCGCGCTGAAATTCACGCACATTTCGCACCACCTCCACATGGGGCAGCTTTTCGCGAAAATCGTCAAGCAGACGCTGTTGCAAACGTTTGCGCAATTCCTGCCCGGCCCGTGTCTCGTGCAGCTTAATTACCTCATCCAAATCGCTCTCCTGATAGACCTGCTGAAAATATAGATCGCTGCGTAGCATTGGCGGCATAAAGCTTATTATTTTGCCATCCAGACCAGATTTCTTGAGCATTTGCAGCATGAAATTGGCGCCACGTTCACGCTTCAGTGTGCTGCACACCACCAGCATAAATTCCATGGCCAGACCCTCGTCAATGCTCGCCTGTTGCTGGCCCAATGCAAGCAGCGTTCGCGGATTGATTTGCCCATCGATCAGATACAATGCCATCAGGAGAGCCAGACGCCGACGTGCGCCCTCCTCAAAGCCGCCGAGCAGCGTTAACAGACGCTGGGCATGCGACTCAAAAGCCACATCCAGATGCTTGTGGCGACACCGCAAACGCTTCACCAGCTGCTCGTAAACACGCAGCGCATTGAGCTCATCGTGTGTCGTGAATACACAGTAGCTGGTTCGCAGCTTCAGATCGCCGCGCGTGGGCAGTTTGCCATCGCTGGTTAGCAGGCCGCCCGTATATAGCACATCGTAGAGTTGTCCGCTCAAACGTTGATAGATCGGCTTGGAGACGATATTGTCCAATGCCTTCCAGCTGGCCTCAAGCTTACCTTTGGTACGATCGAGCGCCTCGACCAGTTCATTCCGATAGGCCAGGCACTCGTTGTCCTTTTCCTTTTTCGTGCGATTGCTCTTCAGGCGGAAACAGGGCAATATATATTTGGATGCCATGCTTTTCGTTCTTCACACTCTCCTCTTCCGCTCCCTTTCTCTCTATCGCTCACTCTACTTCTTTCCCTCTCTCTCTCCCTTTCTCTCACTTCCTCTCTCTCTTCCTCTCTCTCTCTCACTCTCTGTCCTTTGAATAACTTGTCTTGGCTTACATTTGGCGCTTTTGCAATTTGTTTCCTTTTTTTTTTTGGGAAGAGGGTGATATCTAAAATTTGTGTGCGGTTTTTTCCGGTTTTACCTATATGGTTTTTCGTATCTTATATGGAATTTGGTAGGCGTTTTTCTTTTTTCCTTTTCTTGTTTATTTCTTTGTTTGAAGTTGTTCTTTGCGGAAGGCGGCAAACAGCTTGAACCGAACTATTTGTAGGTTTTTATACAATTTTTTCAGATTTTTATATTTTTACTTTAATTTTAAGTCTCGCACAAACTAAAATATTTGTAAAACTCATTGCTGAAAGCATTGTGCCAGGCCTGCTTCACGAGTAATCAAAAGCAGGGCTGATCTCTATTTAACGCGTACCCCCACGCAAAGGCTATTATGATGTGATCACCAAATATCTCCTAAACCAGCTCAGTGTGTACGCTTCTTACCATGTTGCAAAAATCAACAAGAACAATCACCCCAAGCAGCGAAAACAAAGTTTCTGCAAAGGTTTAAGCTCTTCGGTTTTCTCAAAAAATTATGTATATTTCTCTTCTTATCCAAGATCTCATTAGGGTCTTACAATGAATTAACGAATGGCTCCTTTTCCATCTAATCGATAAATATCGATAGCAGCCAGCACACCTAGAGACAATCGGACGAAACATGGCCAAATATCGACCTTTATCAAGGGCTTTCGGCTTTCTGAAGAGACAAAGTATGTGTATGTGTTTTTTTCTTCTAATCACTTTCTTACCAAACATCTATCTCAATGTTCATTTGGAGTGTGCAAAGATATTTCAAAGACTCGACAAATTGTTCCTTTTTCATATAATCGATAAGTGTCGATATCAACATTCTTATTGTATGCATGTATTTGAGAGTATATTTTTATACCCTTGCAGAGGGTACTATATTTTTTTGTCGTGAAATGTGTAACGCATAGAAGGAGACATCTCAGATCCCATAAAGTATATATATTCTTGATCAGCATCAAAAGCCGAGTCGATAGAGCCATGTCCGCCTGTCCGTCTGTCTATTTATATGCCAACTAGTCCCTCAGTTTTAAAGCTATCTTAATGAAACTTTGCAGAAATCCCTTTTTCTGTTGCACGCAGCACATATGTCAAAACTGGATCGGACCACTATATCATATAGCTGCCATAGGAACGATCGACCGATAATTAAGTTATATGAAAAAATATTTTGTTTTTCAACATATCTCGACCAAACTCGGTATTTATTAGTTTTACTATACTACTCATATATATGCAAAATCCTATTAAGATCGGACTACTATATCATATATCTGCCATAGGAAAGATCGATCGAAAACTAGGGTTTTGATTAAAAACCTTTTTTGTTTATCAAGATATCTTGACCAAACTCGGCATTAACTATTTTCCCTGTAATTCTTAAATACGGGCAAAGCACTATAAGCATTATGAAAAGTTTGAGTCTGCAAGGGTATTAGATCTTCGGAGTGCCGAAGATAGCCTTGCTTTCTCGTTTTTTTTTTAAATTTGCAATTGCGAGTGTACTGTATTGTATCTACGGTATACATTTTAGTTCCTTTCTCTTACGGTTAGTGCTGTGGATTGGTCAGTCAATCAATCAATCAGTCAGTCAGTCAGTCTATTAAGACTAATAGTTATGTACAGTTAAATGCAGTGCTCGATAAATATGTAAGCTGTCCACACACAGTTGTTCGAGCAATTGGAACCGTGATGCTGGCTCAAACCCCAGACTGCCGCAGCCCTGTCGCATTATCTTAGCCGAAGGCCCTAATAGAAACATGATAATATTAACTACATAATATAGCTCTTAGATCACTGTGTGTATAACAGTGTACGTTTAAGGTGTTGCCAAGTATTTATTATAGTAATTAAGGGCATCCCTTCAAATCCCATTCTATCGATAAATCTGCAACTGGCTATGATATTGTTTGCTTAGGTGAGTTGCTTTCATATTTTGTTTGTTGTGTCATATCATTTGTCATAGCATACATACCAGAGTGTAGGCTTGTGTGTGTGTGTGTTTGTGTGTGTGTGTGTGTGTGTGTGTGTGTGTGTGTGTGCGTGTGTGCGTGTGTGCGTGTGTTTACTGTTAAGTAGACATGATAAAATGGCCGCTTAGGCGCTGTCAGCAGCGCAAATGCAAATATCAAAACACATACACTGAGCCACTTCATATGCTTGAAAGATTGTCTAGGCTGTGTGTGGGTGTGTGTGTGTGTGTGTGTCTGTTTGCCTGTGTGCGTGTGCCTGACAACGCGGTTGTCATGTAGATGTCTGTATTCCATATTCTACTTTGCCTCGTGCTTTACATTGGCATCTAATGCCAGCTTTAGTCTGCGGCAGTTGAAAACCCATATGGCATCCGCACTTCACCCTCCCTGCGCCATGTTGCCGGCATATAGCTGATATCAATCAACTGTAAATAGCTGAGAATGGACAGCTTATAGCTGCCGGAGTTTAAAGGGGGGTTGCGGTCGAGGGTGGGGCTGGTGTTATGGTTGGGGTTGGGAAAGTGACTGCAAATTCCTTTTTGCATATCGAGTAAGCGATTTATGTTAAATCAACATGGAGGCGATTGGCCAACTAATTGAGCTATATGCGATTACGTCGCATCTGATATTAATTTGCCTTAAATGCAATTTGATTTATCAGCTTATTTTGTTTTGCTTGCCATCATTTGAATTTAATTGATATTTTCGTATTAGATAGACCTACACTGTGCGAAGAAACACGCCAGTCAAATCTCAATTGTTAATATGCGAGAAGATTAAAAAAAATATATTAAATTGATGTCATTTACGCTTGACGAAAACATTTTCTAACATTGGCATCGGAGAATGAGCCTCTTGACAACACTGACAATACTGTCAGTGTTTCGCGTTTATCAATACTGTGCAAAAAAAAAATATGCCAGTCAAATACCAATTGTTGATTAGCGAGAAGTGTACAAATATAAAATCTAAGTAATTTACGCTTGATTGAAACATTTTCCAACACTACCACCGAAGTTTGAGCCTCTTAACAACACTGTCGACTGCAATGTTCACTTAACAGCACTGAAATAACACAAAATTAATTCAGGTTGAATGCAAGGCAGTCCGTTGACCATTAACTTTAAGCAACTACACAACACGCTTGTCTACGATTCGCATCTACTAACACTGGCTGCTTGTTATTTTAAGGTTGCCTGATTAATTTACGTTTTCGTTGCCTAACTCAACTTAAGTTATTGTTTACAAATTGCTTGATATATTTTGATTAAATATGTTATTATTTCGTTACGGTTCGATTTGATTTGTTTTGATTTGATTGATTCAACGTATTCCCCTCAAAGATAACACACACTTTTTTACTGTTGTTAGTCGAGTGTGCCTTAGTTTCGATTTGATTGCATTTTTGATAAGCTCTTTCTCAACGTTGCTTCTGCTGTTAATGTGACTGTCATCGCTTGACAACTGAAACGCTTGACACAGCGAATCGCAGACACAATTTTATTTATATTTATTCGCGTATTTATTTGCTCGATTTGGCTGCTCTGTAAGCAAAGTGCACTGAGGTGAAAGGCGTATCGATAGGTTCTCGTGGGCAGCTGAAGGATTTCAGTTAAGTTACTTTTTATACAAAGTTCTGCTATATGGTGTTATATCTGTTGTTGGTTGAGCAGAATAGGAAGGCATATTAAGGTGTGTCTGTCATCTAATGTTTTATTGTACGTGTATAAATGCAGATATACATACATATACGTTGCAAGCTTCTCTTCGCTTCTTTCAGCTCTTTATTTTAACCTTTTTAGAGAATGTCCAAGAATATATATTCTTATATATTCTTATATATGTATGTATATGACAATTTCTTAATTATTGTTACAGTCCCAAGTATGCTTTTCAACGTTGTTTACCAACACTCTTCACATTTGACAAAGTTGCCAATTGGACAAGGTGGCAACACTCTCTGATGTTTTTGAATAAAATGTAACAATTACATTTGCAAAATACACTTGAGATATGGGTAAAGAGCATCTACTTGTCGTGAATAGTCAAAAAGCGCATTTCTTCAATAATAAACTTGAAAATTAGTGGAGCTTCTTTGTTTCTGGTCAAGTTAGTAATATTCTTTGCCCATTTGTTATTGTATTTATGTATTTTTATATGTTTTCTATTTTTTTGATAAGAAATCTGATCAAGTGTCTGGTGCCAGACAAAGACACTTATTGATGGGGCATTACCTTGATAGCTATTCAAGTGCTTGATTTGTTGTTGTTGCCCCAATTACATGCTATCACCTCCAGTGATAAACGCAACATATTTGGAATTTCTCGATGATCGATGTGTGAAGCGCGTCAAGTGACCGCCGTTTGCCTGATTGATTGAATGATTGATTGCGTCAAATGCACGAACATAAACCGAAAAAAAAAAAAAACAAATCTTAACCGGGTCAAATCAATTACTTGATTTAATTAATTTTGATGGATTAAAAGCTGGCTTTATATCATTTCAAAGTTTGACATCTGTTAATGCCAAATCATACAAATTTATTTCTTCTTCTTTAGATATGGCTTGAGAGTCTCTGTGCAGTTTTAGAGTCATTTACTCAAAATTCATATATTATAACAATTGAGAAAATGTAATTAATAAATTGAATTTAATTCATAATATTTCGTAGACAGCATGCACAGTTTTTGATCATGTCCATTATTTTGTTTACTTTTTTTTATTAATTTTTTTTTTTTTTTTTTTTTTTTTTTTTTAACATAAATCCAAGTCAAGTGCTTAGGTCACAGACAGCTTGACCCTTTTCGTAGTAAAAAAAAATGTTGCATAAATAAGAATTTAACTCGAACT